GACACTGTTGGCTGACGCCCAGGATGATGCAACAGGACGCTGACTGCAGTTCACTGAACGGCCACTGGTGGCGCTGTTAGCTACAGTTTAATGACCGTTACATACAGAAGCTTTTGATTATTTGAGACCCCTGATGCTGCTAACAACCACAGAGACGTCCTTACTGGTGTTACTGGTTCACTTCCTGGTAACAATGAAAGATCTGCTCTCCATGTTTTTATGTTTTTATCGATATATCGATGGTTCATTTTTAGTGCAGAAACGTCCAATCTGTAAGAATACCTGAAGAGTCTCACCTGTCTGGGCTCACCTGAGGAATCAAACAGGTCTTTATTAAAAGTTAAATCTTTCAGACGTAAAAACTGCTGGTCTGATGGTAGCTGGTGGTGTCCTCAGAGAGAGTGCAACACTTTCATCATCACTTTTATCAAAAGTTTGTAGAAAAACTGGTTTCTTTCTGATTGTCTGAGCCCAATTACAGACGAAGACTTTGTCGTAGAAAACATTAAAAAACAATCCTGCAGTTACTTCAAGTTTTAAATGATTGACAGCTTCGTTTTTACCCAGAAACCCTTTGGGGGCTAAACAAGTTCAGATTCTAGGGCAGACTCGAATGTTTACAATAGAGTTTACGATCATCATCCTCTGTCTGACATCATGATGGGCAGATTTCAGGCGACCCCAGGAAGCCAGCCCGGGATTGGTCTGTGTATCAGAGCGTCCTGATTGGTTGGTGAGTCAGACTAGAGTTCCAGGAGACGGCTGGTCCAGAGTCAGGTCTCTGTGAGGAATTTCCTGTTTCTGAGGAGGGAAGGAGTCGTGGTAGAGAGAGCTATCCACAGACCTGCGAGAGAAAGAGAGAGAGAAAGAGAGGGGTGGTCAGGTGTTCTTACATCAGTAGATCTCTACCTGTACAGGTGAGTCCTACCTGCCGTGCAGCGGGTGTCCGTGGAACGTGGCTGAATGCGGCAGCGTTGGTTTGCGATGTGTCGGAGCGTGATGATGACTCGTCTCCGTCTGATAGGTTGACTGCTGGATGCCACCGTGAGTCCGCCGTCTGCCTGGCACAGCTCCACCCCCACCACCCTGACCTTTAACCCCCCTGTTCACGTTAATGTTGACCTTTCCGTTGGCCTGGTTTTGGTGAGTGGAGCCTATCGTGTTCCTCAGGTACCAGTCCCTGAGACCTGTCAATCACACACAGCAGATCTGGGATCAGATTCTGTTCAGTTTTCTGACAGATTACAAAGTGACCAGGAGCTACCAGGTGTCCCATTACACAAGAGTCCAATATCCATAGAATCTACAGCAGGACTTCAACGTACATCTTTATGCAGATGATACAGTTTTTATACAGAATCTGGTGTTTATGATTAAGTTTACGATGGACTATTACCTTTATTTAACCCAATAAGTCCACTGAGAACTCTCAATCACAATGACGACCTGGCCTAGAGGCAGCATCAGGAGGCACTGGTTCCAGTCTCTGGTTCCCGTCACGGGTTCCAGTCTCAGGTTCCAGTCTCAGGTTCCAGTCTCGGGTTCCAGCCTCGGGTTCCCGTGACTGGTTCCAGTCTCTGGTCCCAGTGGATCTAAATGAACTGGTCCCAGTGGATCTAAATGCACTGGTCCCAGAAGATCTTAATAAACTGGCCCCAGTGGATCTAAATGAACTGGTCACAGTGGATCTGAGATCTGCTGTGCAGTGATGGCCAGTTGATTAGTTTACGATGAAGTTCATGGCGCAGTTTTTAATAATTGTTTTTAGTAACTCTGATCATGTTGATCTCCATGATACAACCCGAGTAAATAAGTAAGATCCAAGATCCAGGACACTGAATGGAATCTAACCAATACTGGTCTGAATATAATGTTTAATAATCAAACTAGTAACAAAGTCTGGTTGTTACATACTGTAAGGAAGTGTGTAGCCTACATTTCAAAATAGAGATATCTATAGATGGTTTTCCTGGTTTGTCCACAGAGAGAAACTGTGGAGTCTGTCCTCAGTAATCCAGGTCAGTTTGCTGGACTACCAGCAGGTGGCGTCACATCTGGCGTCTGCAGTTGAACAGCAGAGACCTTCAGACGGATTCATCAGGTTTTATCTACACCATCAGAATGAACTTAATTCCACTGACGGAGGATCAAGGGGATTCAGGGCTGCTGGATCTGGACCTGGGGGCTTAAGAGGGGTCCACTTAGACCCTATTGTGATGTAACAGGAAGTGCTTGGTTCTTACCTTCCAGGGCGAGGGCCTTGTGGAGGCTCCTGGTGGCCTCCTCCAGCTGTGTGTCCTGGGTGGGGGGTAGCTGTGGTGGTCGTGGGGGCAGTAGATGGGGGTGGGGGTCTGGCTGGATGGTGGACAAAGGAGGATTATGGGTATCAGTCTGGTTCTGCTGCACTGGGAGGAAGGGGCCGCAAGATTTGGTGCGCGTGACTTTGACTCGCCGCTGGTCACCGAGGTGACCATGGTGGGTGGGCGGGGCCACTGGGGGCTGATGTGAGGAGTACCCGTTGTAGAGGTGCTGCCTGGTGCTGGTCTGGGACTGCTGGCGCTGCAGCTGCTGTTGTTTCCCCCAAACGTAGTCCAACAGGACCTCGCTGTACCCGCCTCCTCTTCCTCCTCCTCCTCGTCCTCGCCCTGCCCCTCCTTCCTCTGTGACTCCGTTATCCGTCCTCGTCTGTTCGTCCGTCAGAGTCTCAGAGCTCCTGAACACTCCGGTTCCTCTGGACCCCGGCAGACCGTTTACCCACAATCCCGCCTGCTGCTGCCCCCCCTCCTCCTCTGGGGGATTGATGCGGTCCAGGACCAGGAGGCCGTCTGAGCTGTTACTGTGACGAGCTGCGTTCCTGACGCCCCTGTCCCCCGATGGTCCTGGATCTGAGGGTCCTGAGGAGGAGGAGTCCTGAGAGTGAGGGGCGGGGTGGAGCGGGCTGGAGCGGGGGGGTTGGAGGGAGGCAGGGGGAGGGCTGTGGGTACTGAAGAGTCTCTGATAATGGTGGTCACTGAAAGAAGAGGAGGGGATGGTTTACTGCAAGGCACCGGCCCACTTCAATATTGGCCACGCCCCACTTTTCGTAAGTGCATTGTAACCTGTTGTGAACGGAGTTCCTCTGGGTCTGTTCTGGTTAGAAAACCTCCACTGAGAACCAGAAAGGGACCCAACGGGGGGCGACACTGAGACACACCGTCATCTGACAGAGAGACAGACATGACAGAGAGACAGACAGAAATGTAGAGAGACGACAGACAGACAGACAGACAGGACAGAAAGACAGAAAGAGAGAGAGAGAAGAGAGAGACAGAAAGAGAGAGGACAGAGAGAGACAGATATAGATTATTATGTTTATCAGTAGCAGATCAGTGTGTGTGTGTCACTGTGTGTGTGTGTTTGTGTGGTTTGGTGTGTGTGTGTTGTGTGTTGTGTATGTGTGTGTCACTCTTGTGTCTTCTGTCCGTTGTGTGCGTGTGTTACGCAGTTTTCGATCAGCCCTTGTTGCACAAGCAATCCCTGTCTGTCGAGGGTTTAACTCTTGATGATGCTACCCTGTCGTTCATTTCTGTATCATCAAACCAGAGGACATCACAGTATAGCAATCTTGAT